ATAAAAAAATGGTAGTTAACTATATTGTTGCCAGAGTCAACTATAAAATCGGATAGTTCACTATATTTTTTCCAGAGTCAACTATAAAAATTAGATAGTTAACTATAATTTTTACGATGTCAACTATAAAAAATTGGTAGTTAACTATATTGTTGCCAGAGTTCTACAAAAATTGGATAGTCAACTACAATTGTTCCGATGTCAACTATAAAAAATTGGTAATCAACTATAGTTTTCCATTAATTCACTATATTATATTTCAATTTAAGATACTATGGTGTTATAAAATGAGATGAGATGTAGAAGAAAAGATAAAGTATTGAGAAGATATAGAGAAACTAAAGAGAAAAAATGAAACATACGAGAATAGAGGAAATGAGGGAAGAGAAAGGAGAGAGAGAGAAGAGAGAGAGAGGAGAGAGAAGAGAGGAAATTGTGGAAGAGAGAGAATAGAGTGAAGATAGGAGAGAGGAGAGAAAAGAGAGGAAATTGTGGAAGAGAGAGAAGAGAGAGAATAGAGGAGAGAGGAGAGAGGAGAGAGGAAATTGTGGAAGAGAGAGAAGAGAGGAGAGAGGAGAGAGAAGAAAAATAATAAATGACAACACGTCAAAAAGGACGGTTCAGAAGAGAGGGGGGAGAGAGAGAAAGAGTGGGGGAAGAAAGGACAAAATTGGAATAATAAACACGTGAGGGGGGTCTCACAATTCCTAATGTTAATTTTAGATTTCTTTACAAATGGTAAATATTAAAATGGGCCTGGACTCTATTATTTTGTGTATTGCGGGGGTTATCCCTCATTTTCCCTAAAAAAAATCATGTCAAAGCTTTGGATTTGGAACATGCTAAGAACGTTATTTGTTACTATTAAAGTATTTTTTTTTATCCTGATAACAGGGGATTGAAAGTGAACTATTTTATTTTTTTTCAAAAGAAAGTGAATTATTTTAGTATCCCTAAAGTTAATGTTGATAAGAAATTTATATAAATTATGGGCGAATGGCAAAAAGGTCCATCATATGGGACTTAAATGCATTGTGATCCACAAAAAAAAACAGTCTCTCAATTAAGCCCATTCCCATGTCTTTAGTCTAAGATACACTCAATAATATAATTCTTATCAATTCCACCCATAATGCTCTAACTTCCTTAATATTACACATTGACCCCGAATTTAAACAAATATATCACATTAATCCCCAAAACTTTTTTTTCAGAAAATAAATTTTTTTTTGAAATATTTTTTTTCTGGCCAGATTCCGGCGCTGACCGCCGGAGACCGCCGATCTCGGGCGTTGACTTTTTTTTTTTTTTGAATTTTTTTTCTTAGAAGAAAAAAATATTTTAACTAATATTACTGTTTTAGCTACTAAATTATTGTCTCAAACAGTAATAATACTGTGTTTGGGACAGTAATATTATGAATACTATTTTTCCGAACAGTAATATTATGAATATTATTTTTCCGAACAATAATATTATTAATATTATTGTCTAAGACAGTTAAATTATTGTTGAAGATAGTAATTTAGCATCTAAGGCAGTACTATTAATTAAAATATTTTTTTTAAGAAAAAAAATGAAAAAAAAAAGTCAATTAAGAGTTAAATTACTGTCTCCGACAGTTAAATAACTGCTGGATACAGTAATTTAGCAAACGAATACAGTAATATTAATTAAAAATATTTTTTTTAAGAATAAAAAAGTCAATTAACAGTTAAATCAATGTCTCCAACAGTTAAATAACTGCTGGAGACAGTAATTTAGCAACGAATACAGTAATATTAATTTAAATATTTTTGAAGAAAAAAAAAAGTCAATTAACAGCTAAATTACTGTCTCCGGCAGTTAAATAACTGCCGGAGACAGTAATTTAGCGGCCAAGACAGTAATATTAATTAAAAACAAAATTAAGAAAAAACAAAATTATAAACAAAAAAAAAAAGTCAACGTCGGAGACCGGCGATCTCCGGCGGTCAACGCCGGAATCTGGCCGGAAAAGAAAAACATTTCAGAAAAAAAAATATTTTCTGAAAAAAAAAAAGAATTGGGGGGTTAATGTGATATATTTGTTTAAATCCGGGGTCAATGTGTAATATTAAGGAAGTTAGAGCATAATGGGTGGAATTGATAAGAATTAGGGTTAAAATTGGGGTCAAAATTGAAATTAGGGTTAAAATTGGTTAATTGATGAAATTGAGCTAAATTGGGGTGTAAATCATGAAATTGGAGTTGAATTGAGTTTCAATGAATTGGGGGTAATTTTGGTATATATTAAAGGATTTTCTTTATTTGCAAATAAGTTTGAATGGGCTTGATTTATTTGAAAGACAAAAAAGTTAGATGTCTCTTTTTAATTAATTGCCCTTGTCATGGGCCTATTTGCCATTGCTCCATAAATTATTAATGTATGTATTTACTAAATGCATGTTCAAAACGGTCACACTATTTCTCAATATGCATAAGTTCTATTATATTAAGGTGGTGTTTGTAAAAGCTTATTTAAAAGTAGAAACTAGTAATTGTGAGTTATGTTGGAATTAAGTGTCTATTTTTTAAAGTTGGGGTGTTTGCAAATTAGCTGGAAAATAAACTAAATTAGAAAAAGCAGGTATATGTGTGCCTTTAAAGTTATAGTTTAAAGGAGTTTATTTTAAGATAATTAAAAGCAAAAGTCATTTTTGCAAACACCTAAAAACAGATTACATGAAAGAAAAAAAAAAGCTCATGATCTATTTTTTAAAGTTTTTACAAACACCGTAGTTTATGCTCTTTTAACAATACTAACTTATACGTAATTGTATAAGTTATTAGGAAAACACAATATACATTCTTAACAACTTGAAAATATTGGTAACATTCTTCCTTTCCCTAGGTGTAGACAAGTTCACCCGGTCAAATCGGACACAGGCCGAACCCCGCCTTTTGTCAACGGACCGGTTAATTGGGTCAATGGCCAACGGGCCATGATTTGTAACCGTATCCTAAACCATATTTTAAGGCCCGCTTCAAGAAACATAAAACCGACGGTTCGACCCAAAAATTAAGTAATGGGTTTCCTACTCGGGAAAAAAAACAATTGTCCTCATTGGTTTTAAGACAAAGACCAACGGTCAAGATTAAAAATTTGACCGAACCCTGTAACTTGACGGCTTTCTGCAATTTTTTTCAAATTATTTCGACATTGAAAAAAATATAAAAATAACTATTAAAAAGAATTACTATAGAATCGATACTATGGAACTATAATACGTCAATTTAGAACAGGCCCGAACCCGAAAATTAGCGAGACCCGTACCGCGAACATGTCTACCATGTACTAGCGTTGTATCTTAGCAGTAAAAAAGAAGAAATATGTAATGTGACTTTAGAGTTTGAAAAAGTTTTTATATAAGTAGCATGTGAAAAGTAAACAAATAATTGAATGAATGGTATTGACGTTTCTTTATTTACTTGTTCGCCTTAAAATCATATTCAACACCCACACGCAAACGCCTTTGACCCCTCAGAACCAACAACTTGTAAGAATTCAGACATACAAAAATATGACAACCCACAGCCGCAATTTGCACTAACAAACACTAGTACGCCACACACACAATTGGGCTTTTTAGTCTATTTTCTTAGCTTGCTTGTGGTTTGTGGGAATCTCCCTTATATTTTCCACCAAAATTATCATTACATTTTAGTTGATTTGTACTAATAATCTCTACAACTACTATTCTTATTTTAGTTCAATATAATTAGCGATGGAAATCGGAACGGAAATTCTGAAGTCCTTTGATTTCTATAGAAAAAAAAATCGATTTAATTAGAACAACTTTTTTTTCCTCGAAAGTTCTTTCAGGATCTTTTGTGGGACGCGGTACATATTACATTATGAATTTAAAATTTCAATTGTTTTTATTTCCTTAAATATTTACATTTTTTTTTCTTTTCAGAAGTGGCATTTATAATATCAATATTTACTGTATTTTGTATTACGGGTGACCAAAAAGCTGAAGTTTTAAAGAGAAAATATGATTTAGTAACAAGATTTTTTCATCCGAATTTCTGAAACTTCGTTTTATTTTTCGATTTATTTTTGTAATGGAATTGGATCTTAATTTCATTTCCGAAAAAAATGGTTTTTTTTTTTAAAGTGATAACTACGAAAAAAGGAAAAGGAAAAAAGAGAATCATGTGATACACTACAAGAAAAAGTAGTTTCAATGACCAAATTCTCAGCGACCATAACTAAATGGTCACTAAATATTCACATTTAGTGACCGAAAATAATTTGGTTACAAAAGTCGGATGTGTTAAACCTTTTTGCGACCAACGAATATTAGGTTGCTATAAGTGGTCACTCATCTTGTAGCAACCACATTATAAAGTTGTAGCGACAATTTTTTATAGTCACTATAAATAAGTATCAATAGTGACCAATTTAACAACAAAATATTCAATGGTTGCTACAAGTCTTTTATGATTATTAACAACCATCTAATTGGGTTGCTAATCATATACTCAAAGCAACCACTTTAATATGGTTGCTAGGGAAACTACGAGTGGAAAACAAATTTATTTGATTAGTAATTTAATTTTAAAATATTAAATAATATGATGATAGGAAACTGAAACAGATTTAATTATATTGATTCACAGTGGTTTCGTGATTAATTAAAAAAATTATAATTTGCTAAAATATTTGTTTACAAAATTCACTAAAAAGAATTCAAGTAACAAGATCAATATGAAAAATATCTTATTTTAAATAACATTGAAATTGTTGAGATATAAATATTGCAATTTATTTTATTAAAAAAGAGAAGTACACTGCTGAAAAAAAGTGAAACCTAAATTATAATACATAATCATATAAGAAAAACTCTTAAATAATATTCATGGTTTAAATTTTAATAATAGTAATTTTAAATCAATGGTCAATTACTTTAATAAAAAAATGATATACTATTTTAATAGAATTATCATCCCTTTTCTTATACAAACAGGAAATAAAATCCCCCTCCCACCATCGATTAAAAAAAAGAAGAAAAAAAACCCCTCTTTCACCCTTATGCCGTAGAACTGCAACCACCAGAAATCCAAACGGGCACAAAAATTCGTATTGCTTGAAGATGGACATCGGGCGGTGGCTTCTCGTCGCCTTTGCGCTCTCTTCGGCCCTTTGTGATGCCCGCTAAAGCAAGAATTCGTCGTGATTTTTCAGGTTATAAAATCCCCAATCTCCTATTTATGCCCCATTTCAAGTTATTTTATCAATCGATTGAATATATATTCTTTTGTTTTGGACTGAAATTGGCCAAAACCTAACGATTGATGTTTAAGGTGAAGTCAAAATTGCAGATTTAGTAAACTACTGTGTTCATGGGATTGTAATCGATAGAGGATGTTGTGTATCAAAATTTGTCTGTTTTTACTGTTCAGTGTTTTGGGGGTTCCGATTATCTGAAAATATTTGTTCTATTCTTTCTTACTAAAGCTTGATCTAGGGACCGAGTAAGTTAAGAATTGTTTGGAATTCTTAACCGTCCTGGGTTTTGGGATTTATGGTTCTGCGATAACACAGTCATCCACAACCTATTAACTCACAATTTTGACCTTCTTTTTATAATTGTTTTATATATACCTAATGGAATTTTTGTCCCTCAATATGAAAAGTAAAACAATTGTGTAACCCATGCAAGATGTGTTGGACTAAAGGTGTGTTGATATTTATGCAATCATATTTTCATATTTACGGGTTACGATTCACTATGAAACATGTGAGTTCCGATATCGACCTTCAGGCCTGGTCATGCTTAGGTACATATGTAAAGGCTCCTATGATTATGTAGAGATTTTTACCTACCTTTTGAAGAATAAAGTTTATAAAATCTACACAAGGAAGATCTGGTGAATTTTGTTTTGTGTTAAACTCCCTCACTCATTAGATATGCTGATTGAATCGAACATGTCGATTAACATGAGATACACAAAGGCAGTCTAGAAAAATCATAAACGACGATCCTTACCTTCAAATGATTCTTTTACTTTTAATGCTCTATACACAATCGTGGTTATTTTATATTGAATGCTATCTCATTAGTTTTGTTTTCATAGCATGTTTGGACTTAAAAAAAATTGTGTTTAATATTGTATCCCTGCATAAGTATTCGATTACTCTGTAGTTATGCTCATGATAATCATTTTTGTTGCCATAAAGAGTTGATTGATTTTTCAGACTACTCTACTTTTTGTAGCTATGTTTATGAACAAATTTGATCTGTTAAAAATTTATTGTCTAGTAGAAAGCAAGAAACGAGAGATGAGACAAGTGTGAAGAGTTGCGGAAAGAAACTATTATGATCCTTTTTGTTACTGAAAGAAGCTATGATGTACTTTGATTGCACATTTGGTGCTTAGGGATACAAAAGAGCAAATGAAGCAGGGCTAATCGTCCAGCTATTCCAGGACAGGTATGCGCAAATTTTGTATTTAGTTTTTTATGAAATATCTTGCTTCTTTAATAGGAGGAAATATTATCTGCTATGATGTGCAGGAATTAGTTATAACATCATATTAGGCATTGAGCTTGGAAGAGTTATCCGACGGTATACTCTATGTTTGTGATATATTCTTTTATGTATCCTTTCGGCAAATAAATTAATCGAGTAATACTTCTTTTAATGTAGGTATTTTTTAGCTTCCTCGATTAGTATGTTGTGAAGCAGAACAAATGAATTTACAGTGCATCACATTAAACACAAGGAACGAATGAGGTAATTCACTACTTCTACAAAAATCTAGATACATTATTGCATTACCGAGTGCTAAGTGACAAATGGTTGAAATTGATTCTATGATTTCTTATTTTTAATTGAGTATTCTTTTTTATCCATGTGGGCACGTTTGGATGTAATTTAATTGATGCCCTAATACTATATTTTAAGATAATAAATATAATGACATTGTTTTGAAAAGAAAACGTAAAAAGTAGTATTTTCGTGATAATAGATGTTGTCATTTTTTAAATATTATTTTATGTAGTAAATATTAAATTTAATAACAAACCAACAGCAAAGATTAATGCATTTGATTCATTAATTATAGAATATTGAAATTTAAGAAAAATGAAATTATTGCAGCAAAAGGCAAAATCCCTCGCCCCATGGCCCGCATCCTCTGGTCCGACAAATATTTGATGGAGAAACGTAAATTACAGTGACTCAACGCCCTATTACCATATCAGATCGGATCTGAACCTGGTGCCCAAAAAAAATCGTGTACCCACAAAAAATAATGATGACATGGTATACGTAACCAATAATTTATTTGTCTAGTACTTGAAAAACTTTAGCTACCTTTTCCAGTTTGTCTTTCAACTGCTACTGCAGTTTAAGAATAAAATGCTGGTAATCACTTATTTGGTAATGGAATTTTATTTGTTCATAAATATTTAAACATAATGTTGCTTATCAAGTAAGTTTCCTTGGGAAAAAAGATGAGCATCAAGAGTTCTTATCTTTTGCTGACATCATTTATTCTTTTATTTTAACTACATGGGCTATTTTCTGACATCATTGATACTTTATGCATGTTTTTTTTTAATAAATCATCATTTAAAATGTATTTTTTTTTCTTTTTTTTTTATAAGAAAATGAATTATATTAAGAAATAATCAAGGAGTCAATCGATGGCCCATTTTGGCTAAATTAAAATTATCAAAACATCATTTAGCTAGATGATAAGCTGCAAAATTCGAGTTTTTAGGAGAAAATTTAGACTTTCGTTTCGGCCGTTTGTACCAAAATTTGCGAATCTCTTCAATCGTAATTAAGTTGAGGCTAGTAATAGCTTTAACACAAATAATGTTTTTTTTTTCTCCATATAATCATGTTGTTTTGTGCCTATATATATGTGTATTAATTTAATTTAATTAGTTAACCTTATAAATTGACTCTTGAAGAAACATTATTAGCTATTAAATAGCATTTAAACTCAATTACTTATAGTATTTCAAGTAGTGGATATGGATATAACATAATGCAATAAATAAAATAAAATAAATCATGGAATTAAAGAAAATTAAAAAAGAAAAAGAAAAAAGGACCATCACGGTAAGCAAAAAAGGTTTGAGCTTGGGGGCATGGAAGTAATTTCACATGAGATGAGTAGGGATGGTTTAGACAAAAGGTTTGCTTTTAGATCCAAAATAGTGAGATATGAAAGATTTGGGGAAATCTTGAAATTGAAATTGGGGGGCCATCAATTGAAGTTGGCTAATTTGTCACTTATTCTACAAAACGACGTGGGTGCCCGTCGTTTTGGAGGCAACGCGGGACCCATAACTTTATTCCCCCACCCACCCCCTACCCCCAATCCATAATTTCATAATTGCAAGTACATTAGAGACAACTTGTCAAAAAAAAAAAAAAGTACATTAGACACGGTTATGGGACGGGTCAGACCGGGTCCGGTTCCAAGTTTAAGGGGGTCCGAAACTGACCCGCGGGGGTTTGCCAGGTTCTAGCGGATAGAGTTCAGATCGGGTCTGGGGCGGGTCCAAGTCCACACCAAAATTTTCAATTTTTTCAAATCATAAATTACAATAAAAAAAAAAGTAAATTGAAAGTCGAGCTTAACTTTAAATTCAGAATTACAAAAGAATCACTATCATTACCGAAGCTTTGGTAATATGAAATTCATTACCATTGCCGTACCAAAAAAATCGGTATACCAAAATTATGTACGGACAGATTGGTAATGATAATTACCAATTTACATTATTTACTATTTGTGTTAAAATTAAATATCATTTTTTTCATAACAATTCATAGCATATACATGTTTAAAATTCTTAAAATTAGTATTTAAAATATAAGTATTCTAAATATATGTTCTGAACTTACCTAATATAAAATACTTCTTAAATAAAATTATAACATAAAACATCTTAATGTAAATTATATCATCATTAATAAAACCATCACAACTATTTTGACCTACCTAAAAATTACAACTAAATTTAACTATTAATAATTACTTAGCTACTATCATCACTTTTTTATGTAGAATTAATTAACTATTAAAATAAAATTTTATTTATTAATAATATTTCGGTATACTGGTTAAGAGCAAAAAACAGTCAAATACACTTGAAAGATCTCGCATAAACATTTGCCACGTTGTGCCATTTTTGTATGAAGCTGAACCCAGAAAAATGCGCCTTTGGAATTCGGGCTGGAAAATATGATGAAACAAAGAATCGAGGTAAATCAAGATAAAGTAAAAACGGTGCTAGATATGACTCATCCTCGCTCCACAAAGAAGCTCAATCCTTGGCAGGAAAAGTTATCGCCCTAGCTCGGTTTATTTGGCTAACAATAGTTATCCATTATTTAAGGTATTGAGAAAGATATTTCAAAGGTGAAAAACATTGTTTTTTTAATTGGGTTTGATTTTGTAATTAATGAAGTGGAATTTATATATTCGTCTCCTTGTTGGATGGAGATGTCTAAGCCATAGGTCAAAAACATTAGCTTCAAGTTTTACCATTTTTTCATCCCTTTCTACTTATGCCTAATAGAAATTATGTTATCCTTCATCATTAAAATCATGACTCAAACCATATCTCTACATTATTTTCACAATTATACAAACATTAGCAAACTATGTTTAAAAAAAATATTTATTGATAAATAATTAGTATTGGTAATTAATTGCACACATAGAATACTAAAGTGAAACAATTTTCTCTAGATTGTCTCTATACACACATAACTGCGTATATGACTCATATATATATATATATATATATATATATATATATATATATATATATATATATATATATATATATATATATATATATATATAAACCTCGTTCAATTAATATATTTTTTTCCCAATTTGAGGTTAAAAATTGTATCATTAAATTAATATTTCGCTGAATAAATAGAATTTAGCTTGTCCCCTCTGGATTCATTATATATATGTGTGTAGAGAGAGAAGGGAGGGCAAAATCCAAGAGAACAAGTGTTCTACCACTTGCACCTATTTTAAAGAGATAAGAAAATAAAAGGGAAGACCATTCTTGTGAAGAATCTCAAACCCATTGTCAATTTCAAGGACCCCTCCTAGAAAAGCATTTGCGTTTTCCAATTATTAATCTGTACGAAAAAGTTATATATATATATATATATATATATATATATATATATATATATATATATATATATATATATATCTTATATATAAAAGAAAGAAACGCTAGGGCAACCCTAAGAAACCCTAATGTCATATTTGTAATTTTTTTTCAATTTTTATCAAATTTTTATCTCCTTAATATTATTTTAAATATTATTTTTGAATTTTATCATATTTGTATCCCCTAAATATTATTTTAAATATTAATTTTTATTTTTATCAGATTTTTGTCTCCTAAATATTATTTTTTATTTTTATCAAATTTTTATCTCCTAAATATTATTATAAATAATATTTTTTTAATTTTATCAAATTTATATCTCCTAAGTCCTAACTATAATTTTAAATATATTTTTCAACTTTTAGCAGATTTTTATCTCCTAAATATTATTTTCGAATTTTATCAAATTTATATCTCCTAAATAATATTTTAAATATTGTTTTCGAGTTTTATCATGTTTTTATTAGTTTTTTATCTCCTAAATATTATTTTCGTTTTTTATCAGATTATTGTCTCCTAAATATTATTTTCAATTTTTATCCAAATTTTTATCTCCTAAATATTATTTTAAATAATAATTTTAATTTTAATCATATTTTATCTTTTAAATATTATTCTAATTATTATTTTCATATTTTATCAACTTTTATCTCATTAACATTAGCTGAATATTATTTTCGATTTTTTATCAAATTTTTATCTCCTAACTATTATTTTAAATTTTATTTT